TAACGGGATAAAAATCACCTAGAGATCTCTGCTTGGTCCTGCAGTGGTTCTCAACTTTCTGGCCTTTTAAATACAGTTCCTCATGTTGTGACCCAACCATAAAATTATTTTTGTTGCTACCTCATAACTGTAATGTTGTACTGTTATGAATCATAATGTAAATATCTGATATGCAGGATGGTCTTAGGCGACCCCTGTGAAAGGGTCGTTCAACCGCCAAAGGGGTCGCGACCCACAGGGTTGAGAACCGCTGTGCTAATGAGTCTGACACGAAACAAGATACAGGGTTTAAGACCAGAAAATCAAATGCTAGCACAGATGGTCTAGCTCAGTGGTTCTCAACCTTGGCTGCACATTAGAATCACCTGGCAATCTTTTTAAAATCCTGATTTCTGGGCCTCATCCTCCGGAAATTCTGTTTCTTTGTTATGGGGTGGGGCCACAACATTAGTAACAAAGAAACAGAATTTCCGGAAGATGAGGCCTAGAAATCAGGATTTTAAAAAGATTCCCAGGTGATTCTAATGTGCAGCTAAGGTTGAGAACCACTGGCCTAGATTCAAATCCTAGTTTTTCTTCCTCTTTGTTTTGTGACCTTGGGAAAATTATTATTTTAATTTCTGTGTGGCTTGTGTTACCTCAGAGATTGTGTGTGTGTGTGTGTAAATTCATTCAAGGCAATAGTAAACACTCAATGTTAGTTTCTATCAGACACACCATCTATTACAACAATGTAAAAATCCTGCATTCTTTTCTACCTTCCGATATATTATTTTGGTACTAGACCTATATTTTTCTCTTCTATTCCATTTACTTTTCCCTTTTCACTGTCTTTCATACTGGTAACATTAGAAATTCATGTTTCATTTGTTTACTGTTTTGTATTGAACACAGAACAATATGGTTTCATTTTAGTCTTCACTAGAAGTTACCCCATTAATAATATCTTGAGAGTGAAGCGCCTGTTATTGCCAATCACAATCATCTTACACATCATCCATCATGTCACCTTAGAAGGAAAAGTTAGCTCTGAGATGGTTGGTGGTTAAGGTAAAGAAGGAAAATTGGAAAAGGTAGTGTTGAAGGTCTCAATAAATAGAACAACTACTCTCCATTTATTAAAGAAACTGCTCTGCTTGACCAACTTGATCCACTCAGCCAGCAAACCCTTATAATCCCTCAAGTCTTCCCACTGGTTCATCACTTGATTCATCATCTCATGAACTGGCCATAATAAAACCTCACTCTAGACTTACACCAGGGTCAGCTGGTTAATTGTTATGAATTACAATCCCTCTCAATATTTTGCTCCTTTGACTCTCCTATTATTTCTATAGTTTGCAAACTTTAAAATTCCTGATTTTTTAATTATCCTTTTTTATCTGTAAATATAACATTTGAACATGTTACATGTGGAACAAGATTTTATATATTCATATTTCTGTTTTACATATAACTGTTATACATATGTTAATTATCCTTTTTTATCTGTAACATATTAACATTTGAACATGTTACAAGTGGAACAAGATTTTATATAATCATCTTTCTGTTTTACATATAACTGTTATACATATGTTTCTTTTATTCCTCAGAGAGTTGTATTATCTATGTCTGTTATAGATCCTAGAACAGTGACAGGCACATAGAAGGTTCATAGTAAACTTGATTTTATAAGTAGTTATTCATTTAAAGTGAAGCATAACTAAAAAAATCACTGGTGTCATTA